TATATATATATATATATATATATATATATATATATATAGAGACTTGGGATCATGTGAGAATAAGGTTTTTTCGTGAGACCGTAAGACCAATTCTTAACCTTCGAATTAGATTTACAATCTGAACATTTATAATCACAAAATTGCCATGAGACTTCTCAATAATTACAAAATTGTCACCGTGCAATTTTAGATCATTAGCTTATAAAGTTGATCAATGAACATAAATTGGTCTTACGGGTTTTTTTTTTCTTCTAATAGAGTGAAGCATCTCCATTCCATTAAAGTTTTAAGTATAAAATTCCTTTGAACCCCTCCACTATTGTTGATCCAGTCCATTTGTTTTCCGCCTCAGCTATAACATTTAATTATTTTATTGAATGATTAAGATATTTTTCTTACAAAACCATAAATAACGTGATAAATAAAGATAAGAGGATGACGTCAGCCAATAACTTCTTTTTGTTAAAGATAAAAAGTTTGCATGAAAAAAGCAACCAAACAAAATTAATAATTAAAAGCAGTCGATGTGTGGTGACGCATTCCACCTGCGTTAATAATAAGTGTCAAAGTCTTTTTTTTTATTTTAATAAGAGGTTTATTAAATTTATCTGTATTAGAATCAAATAGCACCTTAGCATATATGGAGTTTATTTAAAAAAACAAACTCGTTATCGTATTTGGAATTTTCTTTGTTTCTCTTCTGGACGTTTGGAAGGATCGTCCCTTTGCTCTTTCTGATTCACCTTTTTTCTTATAACCCATGGCTACTCTGAGTGTTACCAGCAAAATTTGGTCTCTGCTTCTTTGGCTGAGGACAATCTGTTTTAATGTGATTTGGGGAATTGTAATGATAACAATGTTGGGGTATTCGACAATCTCTGGAGATATATCCCATCTTTCCGTATCTAAAGCAAACTATCTGTTCAATATTACAATTACCCTGGTGGACATGGTGACATCTTGGACAAGGTCTCTTGTTAAATCTTTGAGTGAGACGATTTTCAGACTTCTTAAACTTGGGTCTCCGGAATTCTGTTGAATATTCCTCCCATTTTCTCTTTCTGTCTGATCATTTCACCCATATCACATACTCTCAAGTACATGCACATAAAATTAGCTTTCCAAAATCCATAGATGTAAAGCATTAACAAATCTCTTTAAATCTTCTATTTAACTTTACCTTTCACATGTGTTCGACATGTAATGCACATTTTTATACACAATAGCAAGAAGACGTTAAATCAGCAACGAAAATCAGATAAGAACAAAAAGTAAAATTTTCTTCTTCCTCCCTTCTGTTTGTTTGAACCCAGGAGCCATACATACCAACTTTTTCTTTCTCTTTTATCTCTTTCAAAACAAGAGAAATAAAAAAAAAGTTATGTATTTAACCTGGATATTCAATCGGCTATGCGAGCCGACTAATCTCAGGGCAACCACCTGCTTTGCATATAGCTCGGAGTCACTGCACTTGAACCTCTGTGGCCACAAGGGGATTTTTATTTCTCATTGTATTTAAACCTGTGACCTCCAGGTACTTTTGACCTTCGGAGCCAAGCTCAAACCAATCAGGCACCACTCTTGTGGTTCATATACATACTTTTGAGATGAGGACGCAAGGAGTTTAAAATTTTTAAATCAACTTTTCAAAACACATCCCTCAACTTTAAAACAACTTTAAAAACAATCTCAAAACTTTCTTTAATTAAAACTCAGTTATCACAAATGGATTACCTGGAAAATCTCTGAGTAATTTGTCACTGATGTGAGTTCCCCACCAATAACTTACCCACCAACTATTGTGATGGTTTTGTGACATATCCACCCTTTAGAGACGGATTTCTTAAGAAATGTCCGTAGGTAAAAGTCTTCCGTTTAGTAGTGATCGCATGTACACAATAAGAAAGTAGCAACAGTAGCTAATGTAGTGTCATACGATCACTCTTACAAGTATGGTCTAAACAATGATCTATCGAGTCGAACGGGTTTAAGAAGTTAGAAACATATAGTAAACGATCTAGCTATATTGTACCTCCTCAGCCAACGGGTAGGAAATCTTGTCTGATATCTAATTATGTGTTTTTAAAATATTTATTATGATGTTTAAGAATTAAAACCAGCCAAATAAATAGTTGTAATTAAAGTTATAGATAATTAGATAGTTTTACATTTAAAAAGTCAGTCAACTTTGCATAAAAGAAGTTGATTACTGACAATCTCAACTCACCCCATACGGAATCCGCCTCAACGGACCCCAATATGAGAGGGCGTTTTTTGGCTCACTTGACGGTTGAGGCTAGCAGGGGACTGGGGTCAAACTCGAAACTTGTCTTGTATTTAGACATAGTCGTCTCTTTACCAACTGAACTACATCTGACAGGCAAAAAACAGCTTTAATACAAAAAAAAACCCTTACTTGATTTCATTTAAAGGGTTAAGATATAATGTGGATGGATGGAAGGTACAAAGTCAATTTCATGAAATTGGAAGGTAACAAATATCAACTTTACACATCATTTGTTATATGTGGGAGAGGAATATGCAACTTGTATATATCTCCATCTCCAAAACATAATGCATCTTTTTCATTTCTTTTCTGATTAAAGAAATACTGATTATTTTATCGTTTATGTTATTGTAAAACCACGTGCATCTGATTTGGCTTTTGCTCTTTATCGCACTTCTCATAAGTTGATTATTTTCTCGTTTGAACCTGCCCCTATACATATATATATATATATATATATATATGTGTGTGTGTAGATTAAAGATAAAGAAGCATGGAAAGAGAGAAAGAGAAAGGGATTTGTGTTGTTTCCTTGTAGCAAAGATTCTCCACTAAGAATTAATTGAATAAGGAAAAATGATTCATTATTTAATGAGATTAGAAGCCCCCCTTCCACACCATTAATTTTCATGATAAATGGATGAATCTTGTAGCCATGCAATTGCAACTCATTACTATCCCATTTCTACACAATTTTTATATTTTTACAACCCGTCGCGTTTCTACAACCCAATAAATTGAGATATTTATGGAAATGATGAGAGTTCATTTATTATGATTTTAATATTTATGGTCATTAAACTTTATATTATGAAACAATCAAAACTTATATGAAATCACATATTAATCAAATGAAATAGACGGTTGAGATTATGTTGTATTGGTTGCACAAATGTCAAGGGTTGTATAATAACCAATATATATATATATATGTTTTTGAATGCAAGTTGCATGCAAAGAGAATAAAAGAGATCTGCGTTCCAGCGGAGTGAGTTATGAAGATGTCCACTTTTATTCTATTCGGAATTCTAATTTCATATTTCTCCATTTGTTCCCAACCTCTCACATTTACCTTTCCCTTTTTCTAACAATTCTTACCATCATTTCTTTCTCACTCTCACTCTCAACTTTTATCTTTAAATTCTTTTAAGAATATATATATTATATTATAAAGCATTTGACAAAAACTCTTAAAAACCATTTTTTATGCGTAAAGTACTATTTATTAATGCATATTACTTATAACTCAATATTACAAGTAGATTGTGCGTAAGTACAACTTATTAAAGCTTCATAGCTGAATTCGTGTAACTAATTGCAGATAAACATAATCAAATACAAGATAAACATCTCATTTTAAATATAAAAAATCTAAAATATAATTAGGATAATCATTGAATTCTAACATAATATTTAATTATTATCTTTATAAAATCTTNAATTAGGATAATCATTGAGTTCTAACAGAATACTTAATTATTATCTTTATATAATGTTATATTATTAAATCAAAAATAAATTATTTCGTTATTAAACTTGAATTAAATTATAATAAAAAAATAAATTAAAAAAATTACATAAAAAATAGAACTTTTTAATAGTTGATTTGATATTAACATTGATATATATATATATATATATATGTGTGTGTGTGTCTCTCTCCAACCCTTAACTTTGCCTTTTTCTAACAAAATTTATCATCATTTCTTTTTTATATTCAATCCAAGGAGGAATAAAAATTTTCTTATGGCCACGGAGGTTCAAATGCGATGACTCCGGTTTACCCTAAAGCAGGTGATTGTGTTGGAATTAGCCGGCTCGCATAGCGGGTTAGATATTCGGGTTATGACAAAGTAAGAAGAATATCGAAGAGGCGTTTTTTTTTTTTGATCGATAAATGTTTAATTTAAATAGCACGTTTTTTATCGTGAAATAAATTAGACAGTTTTCATTGAGGTTGGTTCACATGTCTATATAAATCAAGCCCCAAATTTTTGAGGGTTTGTTCAAAACCCCATTTTTTTTATTATCCTGGATATCCAATCCGCTATGTAAGCCGACTAATCCCAGGTCGACCACCCGCTCACCGTATTTGAACCTATGTGGCCACAAGGGAATTTTATTCCTCTTGGATTCAAACCTCCAGGCACTTTTGACCAATGAATCCCAAGCTCATTTAACATGTTAACAGACGGTCTTGACAATAAAAGTTTTGAACCAAACGAGACGGAAGAAGTATTCGACGTGGATGGTGACAACAGAGGTGAAAAGATGACCAAAACATTGGTTGTATTCGACTATCAAAATCCTGAAATTACGTGCATTACTATACTGGATTAATGTATCGATTTATTTGGACTAAATACGAGAATTATCACAATCGACTTAAAAAAGAATCTAAGGATGATATTTATAGATCACTCCAAATTGCTTTCAAGTGTTTGATTTCCTTTTCGAAAACGACATAATTTTGGGTGCTTTTTTGTGTTAGTATTGCAAAAGAAGAAACGTTATGAACCAAAATAGAAAAAGATAATAAAGACCAAAGAAGAAAACGTTGACATCGTGACAATGGAGGTGATAAGATCGGTGTTTCAAAAGACGACTATGGCTCAAGGCTCGTGTATGACGTCACGTTAAGTCTCTGGTGGGTCATGACCCGATACACAGTTTTTGTAACGCGGTATATGATTCTTTGAATTTCTGTGTCCTGTTTTTTAGTTTTTAGTATATAACCTTATTTAAGTTATTTAATATCATTGACTAATTGAGTAGTAACAATATCAAATATATATAGACTTGGGATCACGTGAGACGAATATGTTTCTGTTAGACCTGTGAGACCATTTTTTACAGTTGAAAGCTTTTTTTATCTTCACAGCATTTTGCCGTAATATTTCAAGTGTAAAAAAGTAGTCTCACGGGTCTTACAAAAACATGTTGGTCTTACGTGAACCAACCCAACATATAAAAAAAGAGGAGCAAAATGTGGATTGCACCTGGGATTTTTACGATTCAAAATTACTTAGAGGTGTCATTTATCCAACACTAACAGAGTAAGAGTCACTACTATCACTTACGTTACTGGATAAGATTATCAGATATCAAAATAGCATAATAGATTATTGGTAGACATCTATTATACGATAAACACTAACCATGTAAGAATCTCCACCTTCACCTACCAGATAAGATTCTTAGGGGGTGTTTGGTTCGCAGATTCTGAAAGAATCTGATGGAATTGGAATGTTGAATTATATTGATCAAAATCCGTTCTCTCGTTTGGTTCATTATTTCTTCACGAAAGAAATCTTCAAAATCCTACAAATTCCACAAATAAAGAAATTTAACATTCCTTAGCAGCTACATGGTATTTTGATGGAATGTAATTCTCTATTTTTATAATATCGAATATGCCCTTAACCCAATATAATCTAATCTCATAGAACCCAATATAATCATCGTCTACCACATCTGACCACCATCGATCTGAATCACCGTCAACCACTGTCATCTGAACCACCGCCAACCACCACCACTGACTACCACCAATCTGAACCACCGTCGACCACCACCGATCTGAACCACTGCCGATCACCGCTATCTGAACCACCATGGACCACCACCGATATGAATCACTGTCGACCATCGCCATCTGAACCACCACACACCACCATCGATCTGAACCACCGCCAACTACTACCGATCTGAACCACCGTCGACTACTACCGATCTAAATCACCGTCGGGCACCGTCGATCTGAACCACCACCGACCATCACCGATCTGAACAACCACCGATCTGATCCATCACCGATTTGAACCACCCCCGACCCGAACCACCACAGACCATCACCAATCTGAACCATTGTCGACCACCGACGACTATCACCAATCTAAATCACTGCCGGACATCGTTAACCACCAATGGTTTGAACAACCACCGATCTGAACCGCCACTGTCACAGCTGATTTGAACCACCGTCCATCTGAACCACCGCCGACCACCATCATCTGAACCACTGTGGACCACCACCGATCTGAACCACCGTCGACTTAGTAACGTCATTTGGCTTATGGTTATATTTGGGTTGTGTATTTTATATTGTTTTACATAATAAATAATTATTTTATTAAAATATTTCTAGTTTTAAAAAAATTGAAATTTTCAACAAAGTGCATTTTGGTCATTTACTAATATTCCATTCTAATTCCTTAATATATTCCATTACAATATCTGCCAACCAAACAGGTGGTCAAACATGATAACATTTCATTCAAATTCCTTCAACATATTTCATTTCATCCAAAAACATTCTGCAAACCAAACATCACCTTAGTTCTTGTCATGTTCACCCAGTAAGATAAATGACTCTATAAACATCTACCTCGTTAACGTTCGATAAGGCCGTTGACCATAATCTTCGGTCAAAGAATTAAATTGGTCAACCTGAAGTGATGATTATTGTAGTTTACTCCAAATCTTTTTGAAAATGACACAAGCTTTTTAATGATTATATTTAAGAAAATGATATATTGGACTGAATATGTCATCATGTCCAAAAGTCATAATTAAATAATATAATATTTTACAATTAACTGCCAACCTGAAAATGAAAATAATAATAATAATAATAATTTTAAAATAAAAAAGATTTAATAGGTTAAAGAGATGCCCAGTGTGGATATGGACATTCATATACCCAACCAGGTCCACTGTATCTAACACAATGAAGCCACAAACCTTCTTCACTCCCATCATATCTGCAATTCAAAACGGGGCAAATTGCATGAAAATGTAGCATACTTTAACTTGATTCTTACTTTGGATAACATACTTTCAAAACTTCCATTTTGGTACCTAAAATGTAATGTTGTAAACATCTAAGTACCCTGATAACCGGTTGAAATGTTAACCGGTTACCATGCTGATGTGGCGAATGTTGTGGTATCAACTCAGTATTATTTGTTGACGCATTAACCAGATACCATATCATTCGTCACATCAACATGGTAACCGATTAATGCTTCAACCGGTTACCAGGGTACTTAGATGTTTAAAACTTTACATCTTAGGTACCAAAATAGAAGTTCTGAAAGTACGTTATGCAAAATAGGAATCAAGTTAAAGTACGTTACTTTTTCATGCAATTTGTCCTTCAAAATAATACCACATCAGTAATCTACACAACAAAAACCAAATAGAAATAACCACATTATCAATTAAGAAATAAAGCCAGAAAACTAACTGGGTATTTCGTTACAGGTATTATGTACGTAGTCATTAATGGAACCGAATATAAAAGAAACTGTTTGGTTTTATATAACATAATGGTTGAGTGACAAGTCCCCAAACTTTCATTCCAAGTTAAAGTTGAGGGAATGAAAATTGTCAATCAAGAAATAAAGCTAGAAAAGTAATAAGACCATAATGTCTCCAGAATAAAGAAGCAAAAGTCAAAAACTCGTGAAAAAGTTACATTCAGCTCAAATAATTTATCTGTTTTTAAGATTTCAACATTAATTATGTTATTATAATACTCCATCTGTCCCAAAATAATTGTCTACATTTCTATTTATAGTAAGTATCTAGTTTCAAAAACATACAACTAAATTCTCAAATTTACCCTTAATTAATGCACAAATATTTAAGAGTTGTGAAGAGAAATAAATTGATTAAAAGTATAATCATTATGCATGTATAACACAGCATGTCATTTCTACGTAGACACATACTTTAATACAGATGGAATATTCAATAATCACAAACCCGACTGCTTACGGGATTTATTGGGTGTGTTTGGTTTTATTAAACATGTTCAATAATATAAAAAGTCGTTCTCTCTTTTCCACCATATAATTCGAGAGAGGGTTCTCCAAATTTGTAGAATTTTTTCAAAAGTTTTGTAAAAGTCGTTGGGGCGACAAGAAAAGAGAATTATAAAAACTCCAAAATCACCTTTTTTTCTCCGTTTTTTGAAGGATCTGTTGGAGATATTCTAAAACTACTGAACGGAAAAATAAAGACATATGAAGTTGTAAAAGTTTATTACCCGATTGGCGCCAAGTTTGGGCAATTTGTGCACATTGGATCAATGCCAAAATCTTCGATCAACTCTTGAGATTCACTAATGCAATCATCGTTAGACTTGGAATCCAACGAATGGCTCGACTTAACGGTACCTTTATGAGCAATAAATGTTCTTCTAGAACCACCATCGACAAATTCAGTGAGGTAGAGTGTGTCATTGGCTATCGGATGACCGGTAGATTGCAGGTGCACACGAATCTATTCCAGACGAAGAGAATGAGTTGAGAGTCCAATATTTCTCAGCAAGCTTGATAGAAAATCAATTAGAATGATGGTATGTATCTCTTACTTGATGGGTTCTTCCGGTGATTGGGTGACATGATACGATACTATATTTCCCATTGGTAGAAATTCTTGTAAATTTTGTACATGCAGCCTTTCCATTTGAGGTAGCATTGCCTTTTTCATCCATGTCCTCGGGCTACACGAGGGAAAAACATCAATTAAACCGAAGGGTCGTTGGCTCAATGGTATCCAGGTTATCTGTAATCCTAGTCTCGTTGGAGATCTAAGGGTTCAAACCTCACTAAAGATCAGGTGTGTGAGTATTGGATGTAATTAAATATTATATACTTCAAGGGAAAAAAAAAACATCTACTAAATACAATAACAGAAAAATTAGATAGCAAAAAGTTTATACTATGCGAGTCATTTCAGTATATTAACCTTAAATGAGATCTTAATTAAATTCATGAACTCCTAACCTGCTAAGAAGAAAAATGGCTTCATACTCATCAAAAGGTCATGAATTTAATTAAAATCTCATTTAAGATTATATACCTAAATATCTCTATACCATGTGCACCGAATAGGCATGGTAGATATGATATTTTTATCCGTGCTATACATGATTTCTGGTAGTGGCTTAATGATATGGAGAATGGCTTATGAAGCTTTCAAGGGGGGAGCTTTATGCATAAAGCCAAGTTTTTTTTTTCAAACTTGTCCCTCCCAATTAAAAAACACACTCTTTTTTTGAAAAAACCCTCTCAAACAAAAACCTTCCCAATCTATACAGACAGATTAATCCACACAGACAACTTTATTCATACAGGATTTAATGGAAAACCAACCAAACAGCCCCTAAGTAGGTAGGGTAAGATAAAGGCAGACCTAACCACTACCCCAAGGAGTAGAGCAGTTGTTTCCATGAACACCGCCTGGCAGGCATGGTAGGTATAATCTCAAAAGTAAATGTTTACTAGATGAATGTCTTTTACCTCTGTGGTACTCCTTCCTTCTCGAGCATTGAAATTTACCCTCAAATTAACAACTTGCTGGATCAGAATTTAAAAGAAAACCAACATGAAAAAGAACATTATCATTAGCCGACATCGAAAGATTAGGGTATATATCCTTCTTCATAACGAAACTATACCTCCTCAGGAAATTCCCCAACTACTTTTGCAATATACTGTTTCTGCACCATTCCAGATTCAATCTGAAATAAATAAACGATTAGCTTTATACGGCAAGGTAGATGCACCAATTTGTAGGTATAAAAATACAAAAAATGTGAAAGTCAAGGGATGAGGAATATATTTGGATTTTGACCATTTGTTCAATTATGAACCAAAATCTATGATCCTTATTCATGCATCATTTACCTGTTGCCTGAAAAGATCAGCCTGAGAAGCACTTCTTGCAAGAATAAGAAGTCCAGAGACCAAACGATCTAGCCGATGAACAGCTTTTGATTAGTTAAGAAATACAAGATATTTGGAATGTATAAATAAACTACCAGAGAAGAAATGGAAGTTGTGCAGGATGGTAATCTGATATATAAGAAGTTGGATACGAAAGACAGGCGCTAAGTCATGTTCTGCCTGAAGAATACCAACAACTGTGTTCTTACGGTATTGACCACATGGATGTACCTGAAAAAAGAATGAATTCTGAAATGACCAACAATGAAGGGAAAACAAAACTATTATATCTACTGCAATCAGGATCCAAGATATAAAAAGCAAGAGCATAATGCCATTTTCTATTTATTATTTCTGGATAAATACATTCGTTTTCCATTAGATCCTGTATGGATAAAGTTGTCTGTAACTCTGTGTGGATTAGTTTGTCTGTATGAATTGGAAGGTTTTAGTTTGGGAGGGTTTTTCCATAGATGGAAGGAGTGTGTTTTTAACTGGGAGGGGCAGGTTTGGAAAAAACTTGCCTTTCTGAATAAGTCACTTTCTATATCATTAAGCCACTACCAAACAGTCATGTATAGTTGACAGAATAAGCTATGAATCTCATTAAGCTCATTAAGCTGCCAACAAACACGCCCTAAGGTCACCATTAATTCATGCAATCAGATTGTCGATCATAAGAAATCATAGTAAGCAGTCGGATCTCGTCAATGTCCCACTTACAGTATGTTTTCAGTGTCAAACCTCTCTCACTTGGAGGTAGAGCTGCAACCAAACTGATACTTTTAAACAGCATTTTGAAGCTCAACTCATTTCAGATTTCTGTTTTGCTACTTTACAAATTCGAACCATAAAAGATCTAAGCTCATAAGCCCGTAAGCTCAATTGGGACTTGGTACAAATTAAGCTTGGGTTTGTTCATCTACATACAAACCAACACAAGCTTGATCATAGAATATGTCAGGTAAACTAGTCGCTATCAAAATTCAGTTGGGCTACTTTACTTGCAGCTCTACTTACAGGAACAGTACAGAATTGGCAATAACCTCAAACTGGACCTTAAAATTTCTATGCAAGACCAATATATTCATATTTCAATCACAAATAACTAGGGCCAGTACGCTCAGACTGTGGCAGTTTTCATACTGGATATCTTCGACACCAATGGGTTTGTTGTGACGACCCGCCTACAGGCTAATTCTCTTAGTGAAGCCTCTAAACTGAAATAAAAAAACACTGTTAAAAGGAAAACTCTATATCCTTGATTCCTTGAATAGTGAGGCATTGGCATGGTGTCTAGGCCGGATGGTATCAATGGCAATTATCATGGGAAGTAAACAAGGTGAAAAGCTATGATTTTCCATAACAAAAATGCATATGCAAATATCAAGAACCCATAAATTCTGGACAAAGAGAGAAACTCCAAATACTATGGGCTTGAGAAAATAATTATATCAATATATTATATTAACAACTCTAATGTTCCAAAAGATATGATCATATGAACACTAAGTACATAGGTCCTATACTCCTATAATTAAATACAAAACAAATATAATTATGAGAACAGAAAATTTACAGAACAACTCCCAGGTCCTATAGCCCTAATAGATAAATATCCATGTCCAAATTAAAGGTCGCAAGGAAGCACAGTGCAAGAACACACCACCACACAAACTTTATGGAGGCATGACATAAATAGAAGCTCAAACTTTCAACTTACTGGAACTGATGCAGGCTTATAAACAGTGAGTACATCTTCTCCTTCGTGCAGAATTTTGACATCCAAAGCCATCACTGGCGGTTCATGCCTACATCCTTCCACATGAAATTAAGAGATTGATTTCACAGTTGTGTGGCAAATACAAGAAAGTAAAACTAACATCATGGTTTCGTTTTTAATTAGCGTGAAGAAAAAAAAACACTGAGTGGAACACACCTATGTACAAAGTGACTAATCTTTTGTGATGACTGAACTCTGTATGAAACAGGCACTGTCTTTCCATCTACTTGTATGCGACCAGACTTAACAGCAGAATCCTACAAGTTTTAAGAGATAAGATAGAGCAATAATAATTGTTCAAATGATTCAGAGGCATAGCATAATTTAAAGTTGAGCAAACATAACACTTCAATTGTGCAAATGTTTTGCCTAGCATATTTATGCTGCTTGAAGGGTATCTAATAAGCAACTCTCAAGTGTCATCCAAATGTAAAAGATTAAATTCTATAAAGAAAAATCAACTCTACATTAAGATTTGATTGTTTAAATAAGAAATACACTTCAACTGATGTACAGTTTTATCTAGATGTTATGTCGGCATCATATGATTGAAATAATTTATGGTTTTAAATATAGTTAAACTTGCTAGGGTAAGCTTGAATCAACATGTAAGGTTGCTCCTTTCTGCCTAAAGGCCAATTGTTTAGTTACACAAACAACCTCTTGCAAGATACAAGACAAATGTTGCATACAAAGACTTCCCTCTACAATCCTAATAAGCCAAGGAACCTTGATGCACTGCGTACACCTTATGACCTTAGTTGAATTGCTAACTTTCTTATTCATAAAGTGAAGAAGTTGCCTATTCTCTAAATCACATTAGAACTCAGTAGAAAACTCTGCTTGGATATATACAAAAGAATCTTATTGTGAAGCTCTAAGATGAACAAGATGAGCTCATTAAGGACATTTTCTGTAGCAACTATGTATGCTTGCAGGGTACATTTTCATCCACTTCCTTTTACTTCTATCCAATTAACAAATGATTGAGACTTCTAGTAATGTGAAGCGACAAGCTTATTGCAGGTATAAAAGTCAATCCATAGGACAGTCCCCATGGAAATGAACTTCTACCTTCCTGATACATCTTTCAATCAATTTCAGAACTTGAAGAAATCAAATAAGCAGTTTACCGGCATATTTATATGTTTTCTTACATAGTAATCACGATTTCGACCTTTGAACTCTTCAGCAAACAGATCAACGATGGTCTTCCCGGCCCAGCGATTCTTAGCCTGTTGTTGACATGACCCAAAATTTTCGGTTTCAATTAGGGTTTTAGAAAGATAATCGTAAGCAATTGCACTATTATCATCAAATCATGGATGTAGAGAGAGATGGAATGATTGGATTAAGAGTAGTAGGGTTTAACATACATGAGAAATGAATTCGAAGTAGTAGGGTTTAACATAGCGAATTCCTGAAAAATACTTGGGATTAAGAGTGTATACAAAGTAAAGTCGGAACGATTGTGAAGGTATGAGTTCCATATTTGAGATTACCGTTCCGGAAGATATAATCACGGCGCTCCGGTGGGTTCGCCGGAGTTTGCCACACAATCTCCATGTCTTCTCTATTCCTCTTCATGATGGAACTCCTGCACAGTCTTACTTTATCTACGGTGCTTCACCTCCGGCCATAAAACCGGTTTTACGGAGCTTGGGGTGTTTTTGGCCCATGTTCATGACACGGGGTTTGGGATCGCTTATGAAATGCGGTGCCGCATCGATAATAAGCATTTTTTAATGTTTGGATAAATAACTTGTATCGATATCAAACCGGTAACAATGAGTTTTTAAAGAAGTTAAACTTTTTGACTTATAATAAGTTGATAAAGTACTTTTGTAGAAAAGCATAAGTTGTTTCAAATAAGCAATCCCAAACACCTTGAGTCTAATCGAGCTCGATCGATCTCGAGCATAAAATAAAACTCGTTTAACTTAACGAATCGAGTTTCATAAAAAATGTTTAAGTCGACTTGTTCGAAAACTCGATTAAATTTTACAAGCCGAGTCATTCGAGTATACAAAATTATCAATAAACGAATTAATCGATCGCGAGTTTGAGTCCATAAACGAGCATTGAGCTCAAAAGCTCAAAAAATATTTGAACTCGAACTCGAGCCCTACATTGAAAAAGTTATTCGAACTCGAATAGCATACGATTCGAACTCGAGCCCTAATTTGCCATGCATAAAACCGGTTTTAGCAAGCTTAGGGTTTTTTGGCCCGCGCTCTCACTAGGTTTGGGATCGATCTTGAACATGAGTATGGGTTTATTTGTGCATCTCTAAGGTAAATTCAAATTGGTTTTATTATATTTTGGTGGACGGTTTTTACTGAGGATACAGTAGCGGATCCAAGATTTTTACCGAGCAAAAGCACATTTAAGGCGGATCAAAGTCAATGTGTTTGAGGGATTTTCACGTTTTTTAATTGATTTCAAAGAATTTTAAAAAAAAATGGTCGATTTCGAGAGTTTTTCAAACTTTTTGTTGATTTGAAGATTTTTTTTCAGTTTTTTTTTATATTTCTTATATTTTCTAATATCACGGACCACTTCTAAAAAAATCTTAAATTGAGCTGGTGCATGAAAACCAACCCGCTCGGGCATACATAGATCTCGATACGATTACGCTACAAAGAAAAGATATAGCGAGAAGTCTATTTTACACTCGACGAACGTAACAAACAACCGATGTACGTAACCAATTGCTAGAAACCATATCTAACCGTAACAGAACCCGAAGATTCGAACTCAAAGGGAAACGACACCTACAAAAAGAACAAGAACGCTCACCCACAAGAAAAGAAATAGATCGATAAATCCACCACTCGGACCGAGTCTAAAGCTGTCGGAAAACCTTCTCAGCAGCATCTATCGTTCGTTGAATATCCTCTGGCGTGTGTGCCAAGCCAGTAAATCCGGCCTCGAACTGAGAAGGAGCTAAGTAAACGCCTTCTTCCAACATTCCCCTATAAAACTTGGCAAATTTAGCCGTATCGCTCTTTTTAGCATCTTCGAAATTGTAAACCGGTCCTTCGGTGAAAAAGAATCCGAACATCCCGCTAATGTACCCGCCACAGATCGCATGTCCACCCTTTTTTCCGGCATCCAGAATCCCTTCGATAAGTTGGCTCGTGATTTTGTCCAAATACTCGTAAGTTCCTGACCTTTGAAGGCGTTTAAGAGTGTGGATCCCAGCGGTCATGGCTAGCGGGTTCCCACTCAGGGTCCCGGCCTGATACATGGGTCCTGCCGGAGCCACCATCTCCATTATGTCCCTCCTTCCGCCATAGGCCCCCACCGGAAGTCCGCCACCGATGATCTTTCCTAATGTGGTTAGGTCCGGAGTTATACCGTAATATTCCTGGGCTCCACCATAAGCCAAACGGAACCCAGTCATAACTTCATCAAATATGAGAAGGGTGTCGTTTTCTTTGGTGATACTTCGGATGGAATTCAAGAACTCGGGTGTTGGCGTAATGAATCCGGAGTTCCCAACAACGGGTTCGAGTATAACTGCGGCAATTTCCCCTTTGTGGGTCTTGAAAAGTTCTTCGATGGCAGCGATATCGTTGTAGGGTGCAGTTAGGGTATTAGAGGTTGCTGCCTTTGGAACACCTGGGGAGTCGGGAAGTCCAAGAGTCGCGACTCCGCTGCCGGCCTTAACGAGAAAAGCGTCGGCATGGCCATGGTAACAACCTTCGAACTTGATTAGTTTCGTTTTTCCGGTGAAAGCACGGGCCAACCGAAGAACGCCCATGCATGCTTCCGTTCCCGAGTTGACAAACCGAACCATTTCGATACTTGGAACAGCCGAGATGACCATTTCAGCGAGTACATTCTCTAGAAGACAAGGAGCACCAAAACTGGTTCCTTTTTTCATTGTTTCAGCCAAGGCTGCAAGTACCTGTAGATCAATTATTTCAGAAATGTGGATTTACAGAAGAGGGCAAAGGAGATAGAAATGCATACATAAAGTCTATATGTATTCACATATAGGGTTGGGTTCCGGTGAGGATGGAAGTTATAATGAGAAGGGTAAGAATGGATCTCCACCCTTGGATCAATCCTAATTGAAGATCAACACCAATGAGATGCACCGGATCAATTCTTGTATCAAGGGCAGTCCACAGGGTGGGGGTGAGATTAAAAGTGATCAAGGATCCATATTTGTTCTTCATAGGGTGGGGGTGAGATTAAAAGTGACCGAGGGTCCAGATTTCTTCTTACGCTTCTCACCTTAACTCTTATTCTCACAAGATCCTTCGTCTTCACATATATTTGCAAGTTAAAGGAGACAAAGAGGAGCAAGCGAACTCATTTTAAGCATAACCAAGAAGGTTTTGGTTAGTAAAGGTATATCTGTTTTACCTTTTGGGATTTTGCCCGTTTCTCATAGTAGGGGGCATGTTCAAATGAGTACCGTAAATAAGGAAATTGACCAAAATAGCCAATCTCCTCAACCAAATTCATTTTTTAGCCATTTTTAGCATCGAATTCCCACTTTAGCCGAGTTTATGCAAATGACTTATGCATTTGCGTAAAGCCTATTTTCAAATTTAAAAAAATATCTTTATGCAAATGAGGATCCTTACACAAATTTGCATAAAGATTTTTTTTTTTCTATTTTTTTTTTAAATCTGAAAATAGGCTTTACGCAAATAAAGTCAAGCTAAAATGGGGAATTTGATTGAAAAAATGGCTAAGAAGTGAATTTGGTTGGGGAGATTGGCTATTTTGGTCAATTTACATGTAAATATTTGAGAGCCTGGGAACCAACTATTCATGATGAATGTCATGATAGAAACTCGTGACGAAAAAAGTTCATGATGAAAATAGATGATATTCATGATGAAAATGCATTATACCATGAATTATGAGAATGAATGGTACTCATGATGAATAATGCATTATACCATGAATTATGAGAATGAATGGTATTCATGATGAATAATATACATGAAAAAAGTTGGCTCCCATTTGAACTTCCCTCTCTCATAGTAATAATGGTTATGCAACTTTAAGTCGAAACTATTGTCTACTAGAGGTTAAAAAGGGCAAAGAAGCATAATATAATTAAAAGAACAAGTTTTTACTAGCCAAGTCTTCTATATTTGATGAGTGCTTTTGGTAGACAAATAAAAGGTTATAATGATTATGAAACTCTTATTTGAGTTCTAAAGATCTCCTGAAGAGTGACTGTCCATTCATGCTAAGGATGTCTAAGATCAATCTTCAATAGGTTCAAATTTCTAAGCTGCAAGTGCCAAAGGGATACCTGGCGCGAAAAACCAGATAGAGACTAGAAGTTACTTTAAAAGGTTCACATGTCAAGAGCCGATATATGGCATCACTGGATTCTCAGAAACCAAACTGCAAATAAACATAAATACGAGATAGAGGCAAGAACCTCGTCATCTGCATGGCCAATGATTGCCGGACCCCATGAACCAACATAATCAATATACTCGTTCCCATCAATGTCCCACATATGAGAACCCTTCACTGAGTCGATTATAATAGGCTGCCCACCAACTGATTTGAAAGCACGGACTGGGGAATTAACACCTCCTGGCATCAGCTCCTGCCAACAGAAGAAAGCAAAAGAAAAGAAATCACTTTAGGCAAATGTTTCCATTCAATAATTTACAACAGAAGACTGCATTGTAAGGAATGAGATATTAAAATCTAGGTAGCATTTCATAATTAACAGATGAAACCATATTCAGCATACAACTTGGCAACAGGTGCCTAAAATAGACGTATAGGGTGCGTGAGATTTGTAACACAGGACGGAGAGGACAGAAAAAATATTTGTTGTTTCATGTCACCAAAATAGGTGGAACAAGAATCATGGAGATGAGACAATATTGGTAAATTACTAAACCACCCATGTCAAATTAGAACCCTAAAACCTTTCACAATCCTTTCAACTACCTTCCTCACTCTCGCTCATCAGTCATATTCCATCTTATCGAGTCCCATTTTCGTATCAAACTCACCCATAGCGAACCAAAGGAGTCATTTCATATTTACCAGAAAACTACACTCTTTGTTAGTAACAATACCGCTCAAATACATAAGCTGTGTTCAGAATCAATTACAAGCACCCACCTATGCGAGGTGAGCTCCAAATTAGTTCACATGATAGTTTTTTATGCAAAGCAGGCTCTATGGGAAGAACAAATCACAAAAGTAAATGACCACAACACAAGCTGCTGGTTAACCACGTTGCAACTTTATGCAAATTCTCTCAATCCATAAAATCCTACATGCATTCCCACTCCCAGTGTAGAAATGAGAAAAATGAGGACATCAACATGAAGTATTCTAGAGCCTAACACCTCCTAGAAGGTAAGGGGTTCAAACCTTACCAAAGGTGAGGAGGGTGTGTGAGTTTATTTGTTACATTTGTTGTATATAAATATTATATACTTACAAAAACATGAAGTATTCCATGAGTTGCTGGTCTATAACACATGTTTATAAATTTAGGGCCTGTTATCTGTAACCATCGCTAAGTGCTGGATTCTGATAAAAATCAATGTGGAAGCACATGCTCCTTGATATAGCCAACTGAGATTAAGCAACTTGTTACCAAAAACTTAGAAGGCCAAATTCCTCAATTATCAAAATTTTGAATACCTACTAGTGCTGTAACCCAAATCATTTTTTTCCATAATATCAAAAAAGTGAAGCAAATCAACTATTCTCTCCAATAATGGATACATTCTTCACCTCCCTGACTTGGTTCCACAATCGAATTGCCTTTTTCTAGGTACATCGCTCTTCAAAACAAACTCTATCAGATTATACTGAAGTAATTACATATAGTTAAGTCCATAATACTTACGGAAGCAAATATGCAAGTCGTATTTCCAAAATCACCAAGATTTACATTGAACGGTTAATTATCCATAAACATCAACTGACGTTACACAGATGATACAAAAATCAACTGAAATGAGCGATTTAATTGAATTCAGATCCACAAACCTTGGCAGCGTTGAAAGCTTGTTCGGATTTCTCGAGAGTGAAAGTCTTCTTCTTCTGGTCGACGGAGACGGTCATTTTAACGGAAGACAAACAGCAACGGGATGAGGAAGATCGAGATATGGCGGATGTAAGTTTAGGCCTGTCGGTGAAGTTGGACGACGGCCATGATAGCCCTATCCCCGCCATTTTCACTGTATGTTTCTGTTCGTGATTGCTTGAAGGATGTTGAACAAGATAAGAAAGTTATCTCCCGACTCCACCTTATTGACTTTTAAAAGGGGGAAAGCAAATAGAAAATAGAGCGCTCCTAAATAATTTTTCACCATTTTTATTTTATTTTAAATTATATAACGATTTAATTATTTGAGAATTCGATATATATTAAGAAAATTATTATTATAAAGTATTATTTTATATGTATTTTTTTTCTTTAAAGTTAGAATTAAATATGTTAATTAATATGAATTTGTTTTAAAATAAGGTAAATTGCATGAAAAAATAACATACTTTAACTTAATTCATATTTTTGGTAGCGTATTTTTAAAACTCTCATTTTAATACCTAAGATGTAAAGTTTTAAACATTTAAGTATCCGAGTAACCGGTTGGAAACTAATTTTAGATTAAAAAAATTCAAGTCACTAACCACGTCAACAAATAATACTAAGTTGGATACCACATCACTCGTCACATCAGCATGATAACCGGCTAATGATTCAACCAATTACCGGGTACTTAAATGTTTAACCAATTAAGGGTAAATTGTATGAAAAAAGTAACGTACTTTTAACTTGATCCCTATTTTGGATAACGTATTTTCAAAACTTCCATTTTGGTACTTAAGATGTAAAGTTTTAAACATTAAAAATACTCAATTAAAACTTTACATCTTAGACACCAAAATGAAAGTACAAAAAATACGTTACCTAAAATAAAAATCAAGTTAAAAGTTGATACAATTTATCCATTTTTAAATGAAGTAAACAATATTTCAGTCAAAAACACTACTCTTACTCTTACCTTCCACTCCACTTCAATCACTATCATATCATATAAAAGATTGTAATGCATTAATAAATTAAATCATAAAATTGATGAGTCTGATCCTGATCTAATAAATGAAATAAAAAAATAAGCTAAAATTTGCATATATAGTATTGGTAGGATTAGGGCTTGGAATTTTGTTACAATATACAACACTGCCCCGCCCCCATCAACATACTTTCTCTCATATTCTCCAACTGCAACTACTTACTGCCCCCATTTGTGTCCCATACTTCTCATATTCTCCAACTGCAACTGTGTCACCTTTTCCACCAAGTTCTTGCTTGTAGCTTCTGCTTCCTACACAACACAATTAAACAACTGCTTATGCTTATATCCTGCCCAACATGCCTAATTGGAATCTCAATAACAAACCAACCTTCAACTTCTTTCTTAAAAGATGCTCCTCCACATCTCGACGCTCTTTCTCCTCTGTAAATATGGCGATTATACTTTCCTGCTCCCTGTTTAGAAGATCGTATTTTCGTTTTTCCTCCTCAACCTGATTCAATTCAATATACACAAACAAAGAATTATGCAATGTTTTATGGTGTATATTTTACATATGGGGTAATGTAGTAATTTATAAATATTGTCTCCTCTCCGTTATTTATGTTCCACTTGTTTGGTGTCCCACTCGGTCACGTCCCGTCACACCAAACATGAAACAACAATTGTTTTTGTTCGGTCATGTCCCTATCTAACGTCACATCAAACATTGGACAACAAGTTTTTATTTTGTCATGTTTGGTTAGTCTAGTCCAGTTGTACAAAAAGCAGATGACATTTACTAAGGGCATCTCCAACCCAATACTAAAAACACAAAAATGGAGATGTTTTCATCTCCAACCCAACACTAAAATACTAAAAAAGTAGAGGTCAATAAAGTAGGCCTCCATATTTGGAGGTCAAAGAAGTAGGCTTCTATTTTTTATATTAATATTATAATGAAATTTTATAAATATATATATACACACACACATACACACGTATATATATAAATACATGTTATTGTACTATTATTATAATATTAGATGTTAGTGTTTTTTTATTGTTGGATTGGAGTTGATTTTTTTGTGTTCAATGGACCCACCAATTTTAGTGTTTTTAGTGTTCTTTTTCTAGTGGTTGGGTATGGTCTAATGGGTAAGCTATATGCACCTCTTTTTATGTCAGAATTATGTCAAATCATGCATTGGAAATGTAAAAAGTAAGTCTTAAAGTTGATGCGTATGAGGAGAAAATCAGTAGGTAAGGGTGCACTTATCCCACCCCTTACTAGCGCAAGTGCTGTTTATTTACTGTTATTTCAAGAGAAAAAGCATAATATAGACGAAGAAAGAAGAAAGTACGACTAGCAGACTTGGTCAACCATAGAAGGTTATAATATAAACCATTTGGTGAAGAAGATGCAGGTTAGGTTCAGTTAAATTACCTGAGCTTCAAGCGTTCTGCAACGGGTTCTTACACATTCTAGATCCTGCACCAAATCACCTAATATCTCCTCTTCCCTCCTCCTCAATCTATGAGAAAGTAACAGAAAGAACGGTGAGAATGAGGTCATTGATACGTGCATCAGATAGACTAAACCAAACGAGCCCAGTACATCCCACATGGAGGTGGGGTCTGGGAAGGATAAGATGTACGTATACTTAAGACTTAAGAGCATCCACAATGGTAGGGCTTTTCAAAAAGAAAAAGGTGAGGCCCACAAGCTTAGGAGGCCAAGCAAAAAATGGTTTTCTTTGTTGGTGCTTTTTCACAATCCGATGTGACAAAAAAGCTCTCTCGGAAAGTATTCAAAAAGCTACATTATGGATGCTCTGACCCCTACCTCGAGAGTAGAGTGCATGCTTCTGTGAAGACCCCCAACTTGTGAAAAGGGTGTGAAGGAGAGAAGTGCATATAAGATAAAGTTTGATGCAAATACAGAAGATGACACACCTTTCCTTCAACTCACGATTCTCTTCCACCAACTGACTAAAACTGGGATTGCCATAATTTGAAGGAACAGTTACATTGCCATAATTTGAAGTAGGAGTAACAGCTATATTTCGGTTAACATTGTGAGACTGCCAATTTAAAAAGATCACATTGATCAGTCAAAGTCGAAACACATGAAAAGAAAATTATATTTGCACAGTTAAAACGCACATGGATGACTACTTAAAACTGATGTATCCCTCTTTATTCAACATCCTACCAAATGCCCCTCAAGCATCAAGGTTGTGAAGTGCATACTGCAATTATATAGGCATATTATGGTCATTGTTGTGATACAATGTAATTGGATTTTCACTGTACTTCTTATGTTATTCCCTTCGTCCCTAAATAAATATCAACAACCAAAAAGACATACAGTTTTAGAAATGTATATTGACTACATCTATTAACAAAATGACAATTCTACCTTTAGTAATGGAGAAAGTAATGAATTTCTCGTCTCATAACTAAGACCGAGGGTATGATTGGAAAGTAGGCACTTTCTCTTGGAAGTGACACATATTCTGGGAAAAACTAAATTAAAAATGTGGACACCTACTCTGGAACGGAAGGAGTATTACTTTTTTTACTGATCCTTTTCCAGGCTGTAAAGTCGTCTCCTGGCCATTTGCTCTCTCCAGGTGCATTTGGTTCGACAATTAGACTGGAATACGACAGGATGAGTGGGATAAAGATGCATTTCTTTGTCCCATCAAAATAGGTGGAACAAAAATCGGGAGATGGAACAGAAATGGTAAATTACTAAAGTAATCATGTCAAATTCAAACCCTAAAACCTACCATAATTCTTTCACACACGTAACTCATTCGTCTTGTCCAGTCAGCGTACACCAAATGCAATTCTCCCTAGGACAGTCATACCTCACCCTATATTATGTCTAGAGTAAATTGAGTTTTTCATCCCTGTGGTAAATTGTGATTTTAGTCCCTATGGTTTAGAAATTGCAGTTTTCGTCCCTATGGTTTGTAATTCATTGTTATTTTCATCCTTATGATTTACAATTTATTGTTGTTTCGGTCCCTGTGGTTTACAATTAATTAATGTTTTGGTCCCTCGTACTTTATTGTTTTGGTCCCAAGTTCAAATCCAAGGAGGAATAAAAATCCCCTTGTGGCCACGGAGGTTCAAATGCGGTGACTCCGGGCTATCTGCAAAGCAGGTGGTCGCCCTGGGATTAGTCGGCTCGCATAGCGGGTTGGATATCCAGGTTAATCCGAAAAAAAGGTAGGAACTAGTCAAGGGCCGAAAATAGCAATAAATTGCAAACTATGGGGACGAAAATCATAATTTCTAAACCACAAGGATAAAAATAGAAATTATTAACAAGCCACAGGGACGAAAATCGTAATTTACTCTTTATGTCTATGTCACCTCCGGATATCATGGGAAGCATCATAGTTTTTCGTGTATTTCAGAATCATTTGCACGTATCAGGCTGATATGAATACAATTAAGAGAATGCCAAAAGATGCAGAAGTTACCCTCAACGGAGGATGTGTGACAACTTGCATAGCTTTTCCGCTTGGAGAACAGTTGTCCTCTGCTTCAGTACGTCTGGCTTCTAGAGAGCTATCCCTCGAAAGAGTTCTCTCAATCGGAAGAGTTCTTTGAGCTGAGAATCCTTTCTGAGAACTGCCATTTGCGTCTCTCATAGTCACGGTAGTTTGCAAATCATAATCACGAATATTTCCGGAGAAAGGTGACGTTGATTCTGAGGAGCTAGCACCTACACCAGAAATCCTTTGTGATTTGTCTCTGTTTTCTCCAACATTGCCATTATAGTTGACAGCTGGACTAGGATGCCTGCTTGGCTCATTTCCTCCTTGATTCTGATTTTGATGCAAAGAGACTTTGTCTGAATGTGAAACAGATATCTTTGAGGGAGCACTCTTATTTGAAAGAGAGAATTTGGGTGTGTAATCAGGAGATCCTCTCTGCTTCTGATTTTGATGCAAAAACACTTTGTCTGAATGTGAAACAGGTATCTTTGAGGGAGCACTCCTCTTTGTAGGAAGGATTTCGGGTGTGTAATCAGGAGAAGATTCTACGATAACCAAAAAGAGGATGAACAAAAAGTGATGAAATGATCAGGGTGTTGCAAAATTTATATATTCAATGGACTCAGTGCAGGTTCAAATGAGAACCGTAAATATTTTCAGAACCTGAAAACCAACTATTCATGAATTATTCATGATGAATATCATTGATAATGAAAATGTATGATATTCATTATGAATAGTATTTATGAATATTTTGGAGTTATTCTTTATATAATTCATAAAATAAGTTAGTTCCCATGTTCTCAAAATATTTAAGGTTCTCGGACACATTCATACAAGTAACATTTTCGCCACTATAAACTTCCCAACCATGTTTTTTTTGTTTTTCTAGGCATTTCACCTCAAAATACAAACTCCGGTGTATCGCATTTATGATCAAGCAACTATCACCCAATTGAAAAGAAAACAGATTTGAAATAATATATACCTCTATCCTCTCCTTTTTTGGGTCTGCGCCGTGGAGCATAGCCAATTTTGTGACAGTATGTAGACCTGAATCAAGAAATGGTTATGTTTTCTGAACATTAAAATTTTAAGCAATTAGCATGAAGAATATACCAGTAGGTCTTCTGCATTTGAACAAGCCGTGCTTCAAGTCTTGAAAGAACATTTGTGCGCTCAAACCCTTGTTTGTCATGAGCTGGTTCAACAAAATTAGCCTCCAACACACCTAACCAACAGCAAGAAAGAAGAAAAAACTACTTTAAGAAAATATTTGAACTAGAAAAAAGAAAGAAGCCCCAGGTTTTGAAGGAATGAATGTAACCTATGACCCCACGACCATCACTTCCTGCAGCATTCCAGAGTCTCCAAAATGGCTGTAAAACAAGAAGCAGTGCAATGCATGTGTTTCAGCATAGCCAAAAGTCCAAGAATTTGTTGGCAAGTGAATGGTATATTACTGCATCTAATGTAAATATTGCACATAACTAGTTTTGTACCCGCACAATGCAGTGGGATGCAATATTTTATTGTTAACCGAGAATGAAAAATTAATGCAATTTTTCATTTAAAAAGAAAATTTGTATTTATGTTTGAATAAAAATAAAATTACAAGTAGTGGTTGAATATGAAGACCAGGTAATATATATATATATATATATATATATATATATATATATCAATATTGATGTCAAATTAAAGATTATGATCTTTTTTTGGAAGAATTTTTTTATTTAAAATTTCAGTATAATTTAAATATTTTAGATTTAAAAAGAAAGATGTAATTTATTTTAGTAGGACTTGATAATTATCTTGTATTTTAATGTTCATAGAGCTTTAAAGAATTATACATATGAAGTATTTATAAACTTGAAAGGGATTATGCATTAGTAAGCAATACCTAATGCTTAATAAGTTATTTTCAAAACTTTTACCTAAATGTTCTATAATATGTATAGATATAGTATTCAACTGTGTAGAGCAATAGTCCTAATGTTTCATGCATCATGAGAACCGTATGTCAACTAAATTCAAACCTTAATGAGTCGGTTTTTATGATAAACATTGAATCCTTGTACATCAATATGAGCTTTTGCATCCTTTACGAACCCCATAGTAACTAGAGCAACCATCTGTTCATTGAAGAAAACGACAGTTATTAGAAGGTAACTTAAAATGAATGCAAGTAACGAATTTTACCAAAACAAGCTTCCATTTCAATGAGCATTACGTTTGAATCCTTGGGAACCCCATCCACACCAGGTTGTGGACGATATGTAACCTCATTTGTCATCATCATATCGTTTACTATGTTATGATGCTGCACGTCCTTCCCACGGAGAATCATCCGGAAGCCATAAGGAACTCTTAGATAGAGAATTGATGCATAACTCTGACAAAGTTCAGAGAAAGCAACATTAAACCATCAATCAGCATGAAGATTTATAATTCTAAACATGCCATTTCCTAGTTTTCCATTTTAAAATTCTACAGTGAAGTTCTTTCAGGTAATGAAGATTGGTACTAATAACTCAAACCAAACCAAACTCAATATATTCCACCTGCAAGTAACATTTGTCGGAAAAGGTCTAGGAGTAACGTTTACCCTCAAAGAGTGCCGATATGTCAGGAAGTGTCTAGAGTTCGGGTACTGTTGTGCCATTTTTATACTGTTCTCATCTCGATTAACACCTCGAATTTGAATATCCTGCAAGACACATATTTTGAACGTCGATTAAAATCAGCAAGTTATGATCATGTGCACTATCCATAAAGGAGTTACATTGATTCAAGGCTGCAATATACAAACATGTTTATCAGCATCAAAATCGAGCTCTAACTGTCCTTGATCATCCTCCCATAGATTGTAAATGATTATGCGTGTACCATGATCCTTCATATGATCAAACTACAAGGTAAAAAGGAAATTAATAACATATAAACTTTACAAAGATACAAAGTATTGACTTTACCAATCAGGTGTGTACCATTTACGGGTCAGCACATATAAACCATGGCTGAGGAGCTATGAGAATAATAGAACTTACCATGAAGGACTACTATAAACCTAACAAGAAGAACGCAAAACGAAACCATGTTTCTTTTATTAAAATGAATTTCATAGTTCCGCTGTACATGAATATAAGATTCTTGCAACCCTTCAAAAGATTAATAAAGATCGGGAAGTTGATAAACAAAAAGGGATTTTAGCAACTAATCACAGTTGTTTAGGTTCAAAGCAATCGTCCCCTTTCGTAAAAAGATTTAACCGATTAGATAATTGATGATTCTGCTTTAAAAAACACACTTCCTCAGCTATTAAACATATTGCTTACTAGATAAATCTTCCGAGTCACAAGAGTTAGGAATTCAACAGACATCCTTCCCTAGAAACTCTTAACAAACATGCAATGAAGAAAAGAAGAATGTTACTTGTCTCAAGAGGTCTGCTTCACTTGAAAAGGGAGACCATTGTACCATCGCCTCAACATTTGTATCCCAATCAACAGGTGATAATCTTTTCATCTTCTTCCATGTTTGCACCCCTCTTTCATAATCAAGCTTTTTGTTGTAGTCAACCACCACCATAAGAATTGAAATAACATAATTAATACTCAGTCACTTGCTATAAAAGGATAGATAAACAAAATTCAAATATATGTAGATGAGAAAAACTATAAGCTAGCCAAGGGAGAGTTTCTCCGATTGATAAGCCATAGGTGCAAAAAGTTATGAAAACACCAATCTTTTGATGGTAATTAAAAGTTTGAAACTTCAGGAGATTTGACTGTAGAAGAGCTTTCAATTGGAAAGAACTGCAGGAATTATGGATTCATTAACAAAGTCCGCCTCATAAGATAGCCTGCATTGCTAACTAACTATTAGAAAAACAACCAAGAATGTTGTTCGCATCTAATCTATACTAGACAGGCACCAACCACCACCCCAGCTCAGTGATCTTCCTAGATGGTTTAACGCTTCAAAGATTTTAACATTTGATACAAGTTGGTGGATTCATCAAAATTATTCTTAAATTCCATGAAGACAATTTTTGTTGGCACACTTCCGATCTTCCAAAAAATTAACACTGTGTTACATTACCTTTTTGTTGTTATTCGCCTATAAAGAAGAGCTCCCAAACAGTATCAATGATTTTAAAGCAACCAGCTTACATTTCTTGACATGGCATTTTAAGGGAAGATCTGAGGCCCCTTATAGTTTTAAAATTTAACAACTTATAACATAATTTTAGTTGGTAGATGTTGGAAGCATGTGTTAGTTTAATTACCATGGGAACTACTATATCTTCCTTCCCTGTGCTCCGCAGAAATGTGTAAGACAGTAGTCCAATGCTCTGTGTAGACCTTCAAGACAATATCGAATCAAATGTTATTGTTAGTGCTTTTGTAATATGAAATCCCCTAACCATAAGGTCTTGGGTAACCAAACCACCTTCAATTACATGTTACTAAACGAGTAAGCGGCTTCTGGAAGAAGAATACTATTAAGATAAGTGCTAACAAAAACTTGGTCCACAACATAAATGGAGCACCAACCTTTTTCCGTCTTTCCCAGAGCATCGAGAGAAGACAATAACATCAGCTCCAAGCCTCATCGTGCTAGTCTTGAAACCATTTCCATCTATTGAAAATATCACAATGGCAAATAAAAAACTGAACTGAGTATTTACAACTGGTTCCGCAAGCAAATATCTGTCCAGATGCCAAAATGGCAATCTTCCTGAAACAATAAACGGGATTCATACCATCAAAGTGATGGGGAGGCCACTTACATTGTCCAATAGCATCTGTGACCTTGCTTTTCAACGAATATCCAAGAGAAATGCATTGTCGCATTTTATCAGGGTCCATCCCACCACCATTGTCTACAGTACATAGTAGGTGGAAATGGTTAACAAGAAACGTAATTAAAACAATGGAAGCCATGGTGCACTAAAAAAGGGTGCCTCCTAGCCAGCCCACATCTAAGGTCACTCAACCCTCCTGACTCTAGATATCATACGGATTCCCAACCATTTTTCCTTCACATTTGATAAACGAGGCATCGTATATCTGACACCAAGTGCCATGTAAAACGCCAAGGCACAACAGAAGAAATCAAAATCACTAAATACCAAAAGTCATGTATATCATTGAGCCACACATACCTTCAATCAGCAACATCCTGTTTTCATCTTTCTTGTTTGTTAGCATATCAATATTGACATATGTAGCGCCATTACAGACCTGATAACAAAATGAAAAACAATAGAGAAAATTGCTTGCAGGGTTAATAAGTGGCATGTCCCAAACCAAATAATCTCAGTGAACCCCATTCACACAATAATATAATGTATATAAACATAGGTAAGTACCTCATCTAGTGCATTGTCCAAAAGTTCTGCAAAAGCTGCATGAGTAAACACACACCAATCCATAAGCATAAAAACTAGGAACATAACCCAAGAAAGTGGTTTAACTGCATATAACATACACCAACTCAAGGGCTTCTAAATGGGTTATGTAACATTACCGCCAAGGACCCATTTGTGACTAGTTGCGTTGGAGTGCAGAAACCTTGGATGAACCCTCAAATGATCCATGCCACCTGTATAGCTGAAATTAGTGAGGTAAAGAACTCGCTCTGCCAATCTCAAACTCTTAGTTTCCAATACAGTACATATTTAACTGTACAAAATTTTAAGGCAATAAAATTTGATTATTGAATTTTGAAGGAGCTATTATGTGCTTGTTGACCTGTTCAGTTCGAAATAAATCGTTGCAAATATAAACATGTAAGCAAATCTATGCATCATAGACATCATACAGACAGCTTTAACGTTCAAACCATTAAAGTAAAATGTCAAAATGGAATATGAACACACTAGCATGCAATTACAAGAAATTCAGATTTCAAGGTACCCACAACAAGAGAGATAACACCAGATTCAGAGACATAAATGTAGTGGGATAACATACACAAATAAAACCTTTCTAAAAGGAACCAACAACCACTGAAGAAAAAGTGAAATGATCTGAATTCAACATACAGCAGACTATATCTAAAAACAGGTAGGCAATAGTCTAAAACAAGGGAACATTCAGCATATACATCACAACGTCCATGTGTCATTACAATCTCCATCAGAATTCAATACACATCAAAAAGTCCATGTGTAATTTGTAAAGCCAAGTACCATGTATCACAACCAAATATGCAGTAATCCATAATTTCCAACCTGACCAGCTGCTATGAGAAATTTTTAGAAAACTTATAACCATGATATTTGAAGCCACTATCAAGCTTGCTTATAGATGCCAAGGTAAAGAATACAAATGTGATGTGAGATTACAGCATCTTGATTCCCGGTAGTTTTTGGCATTGCAATAAGATGTGAAAAGAAAAAAAAACAAAAGAAGACCCAATATAATTATGTGTGTTGACGGTCTGGTCCAACATCTACAAGTGTATATGTCATACCTTTTGACTCCAATTTTGCATTTCCACATAAATCATTGTGACCCTTTCTCATGTTTGATTCTTATAATCCCTTTATTGGATGTATGTTTCATGCAAACTGATTTAATTCCAAAGCCAAAAAGAACACCAACAAGCTCATATTTATCTATGTCTGTTAGACTGTAAGAAGAAGAAAAGCAGTGAGTTCTAAAAAGTGCTAGGCAATCAACTGTACGCCAGCATTTATGGGGGTAAGCAGGGATCAAGCACATATATTAAGCCGCCTGGTTTTGCTATATACAAAAATAGTTCAAATAAAATAGTCTTTTAAGGATTAACTAATTGTCTACCAACAGTATTCTAATGCAATGAGCGGAGATAGGCAGTTGAGTGACCTTCCAGCTTAGTAGCCTAAGCGGGTATATAAAAACAAATCGCTCATGTTATATGAGGCTCATGTCAATTTATAAAAACAAATCGCTCTCAGTTATTTGTCATACATTTCATGGATTCAGTTAGTCAACAGATATTTGTAAGGTTTCCCCCAAATTCTAAAAAAATTTAATGATGACAAAAGTCGAGAAAAAAACAATTACACCCAGCTTAATTTTTTAAGACACTTAATTGCTAGCGAAGCAATCTGGGAAACTCCAAACGGCTGATTAAGCCGCTTTAATTAATCAAAGTGATGGAACAAAGCTTAACGCCTAGGCAGCCCTAGGAGGAGATTTTTTTGGAACGCTGGAGAAAACAAAAGCTTCATCCGCATTTGCTCTGAATAGAAATACAAACAAACTTCCCTTGGAAGAACATGTCTGGATGCGTCTCAGATGCTCCAAAGACGAACAGATTCACGATGGTCTCAACTCGAACTCAAATTAAGTAAAAAATTAACAACAATGTCCTCTTTGAATCATAATACTTGCAATTAATTATAATAGTTTCCCCAACTAACCCTAAAACCAATTAAATCGACAATTAAAACAAACTTAGATAGTAGCATGTTCGTACGTACCTGACGATGTATTCCAATCACCACCGGAACAGCCTTCGAAATCACCAGCCTTCCAAAACTGCTTACAACTCCGGTCATTCGAAACATTATTCCCCTTCGCATGTTGCAATGCCGCATCCTTACGCGGCAAAGGGTCAAGAAAACCCGCCGGAAGAACCACACCATCAGCACCCTTCTTCCTCTTGTTGCTACGAACTACGTCACCACCGCTCAAAACCCTAGACCTCTTGCCATCATTAATTCGGTTCCCAGAAGAACACGAATCGTCATCCGAACTATCAAGATCAATCACCGGAACTCCCGAAACATCTTTCGTTCTAGTATAATCATTGTTATTACCATTCAACACTTCAATTTCTCGCTTAACTTCAACTCCGTCCATGGCAACAACGATTGACGAGTCGGTCGGCGGCAAGTATGGTGGAGATTCGACTGGAATCCGGTTGTGGAGCACTTGATTCACGGGAAAAACTGATTCAGTTACGGAGGACGGCCCTCTATAAGTATTATTTTAAGACGCGCGGTTTGAAATCGTTAATCCACCGCCATAACCAAAGAGGGACCTTTCGAATCTCGTTTCTCCGTCAAAAGAACATATAAAAAGTGGATTTTATTTATATCTATAAAAATATTGGAAATTACTCAAAATTTTGAGGGAATTTTGATTCTAAGATACGATGGGTCCTACGTGTATATTATTTGGTGGACAAATATCAGATATTATCTCTGATATATATATATATAGGAGCGATCAAATGAAAATCACACTCATTTGTATAAACCGTACAAATCACCTTCATACGTCGATTTCATTGTTTAATCTTATGAAATTTTTTCATGAAATTGTTTAATCTTGTGAAATTGTCATATAATATTTTTTTTTATGAATTTGTTTCATATATGGTTATGAAAATTGTTACATATAATATTTAATGAAACTGATTCATGTATTTCTCTAAAATTAAAATAATGAAAATGATAATATCCATGATTAACACTCTCCACAATAAAAATGGTTAATCAACCTCTCATAATTACAAAAAAAATGAACAAAATGAAAAATTATGATTGGTTGACTGAGATTTGCACAATTTGTATAAATTGGATGGTTTTTATTTGAACGTTCACACACACACATACATATATATATATATATATAATCGCCCTCGTTTTGTCCAAGTCGCCCCATGGGGGCAATTTTGACCTCTATTTCATTAGTTTCGACACTCCTCCGCCATTTGCTTGCTGACCTTTATCTAAATTATATATTTGGTTATTGTATTTACGGATCTGGTTCAGAAACTGTTTTTTTACTTTTTGACTCTTCCATAAATTGAGGAGGAGGAGGTCCACCACTTGCGGACCTAGTGATGCTTTTGAAATTTTGGAAGATAAATGACTAAGAGATGAATCCAAATCATGAAAATGGTTATTTCTATTAATTTTTCGTAAAAAAAAACTAAGGAACATTGTAATAACTGTTTATTTATATAGTATATATATATATATATATTATACAGTAATATGCCATGTTATACATGTGCATAACTATCATGAAACATCTTCAGCTTTTTATTTCCATATATACATATCTTCTAGATTAATGGTTACTAGAGTGTTCATCAGTTTTTTAGATTTTTCCTAAATATCACTCAACATTACTTATAAATTATTAATGACATCAATAATTATGGTTTGTTGGGAGTTTTTTTCTTTCCAAAAAGCATATATGCCATATAAGTGGAACAACAAGGAATTAATGGATTGTTTGTTTACCTCTTGATAGTTTTATTAAGAGATAATCTTTGAATCGTTAAAAGGTGAATATTGTCTGGAAAAAAAAAATATGTGTCTTAATGATTCTAAAACTCTCTAAATGATTTTGTATAATGGGTCTCCCTTAACCATTCAGTGCCCTAATTCCATTGTAAACAATTACCGAACAATTATATTTCATTTTGCACTATATCATGAGAGTCTCTTAATCATTATGACCACTTAATCATTTTGTACCGAACCATTTAACAACTATCAAACAGCCCCTAAGGCATCTCAATGGATAACACCAGATCTTATAGTAAATCCATAATTTGGTGTAAAATTTAGTTCAAACAATAAATATATTTCAATTGGTAACACCAAATCTTACACTAAAATGTAAGATCCTATATATATTCTTTATTATTTTTTTCCATTGATGTAAATGAACAGTGATACACCAAATTTTGGTATGTTACTATTTATTACACCAAATCAGGTGTAAGATTTGGTATCCCTGATAAAATGATTTACTGTCAAATTTGGTATTTTGTGTAAATTTTGATGTCCCAATTGGAGATGGTCTTAGATTTCATGCCCATCGGGACTGAGGGGACTCGAACCCGCAACGTCCACCTTTTGACAGGGCGGTGTTCTTGCCTATTGAACTCCAATCCCAAGGGAATCATAAAAACTCTCAAAAACTATTTTTTATGCATACAGTATTGTTTATTGATGTATATTACTTAAAATTCAATATTACAAGTAAATTGTGCGTAACTACAACTTCTTAAAGTTTTATGTTTGAATTAGTGTAACCAAACTTATTAAAGTTTTAGTGTAAATTGTGAGTGTTAGCCAAGCTCGAGAGTTCAAAATGTAACATTTGGGTGTTATTATTTTTTCCAGGTTCAGATCCATGGAGGAATGAAAACCCCCTTGTGGTCACAGAGGTTCAAATACCTGTGACTACCTGTGACTTCAGGCTACCCGCAAAACAGGTGGTCGTCTTGAGAGTCGACTCGCATATCGGATTGGATATTCAGGTTAATAAAAATAATAATATATAAAATAAAGAGTAAATCACATGTTTGGTCCCACATATGCCCTTTATTATGGATTTGATCATTTATCGTCATCTATTACAACAAACCGCCGCCTATACAATTTGTCATGTATGTGGGCCCCCTCATGTCGGTCCACTTTCTCCCTCAAGTACGAGGGTAAGTTGGTCTTTTTATTAAATTCGTATAATTTTATCGTCAAATATTCTTGATGTTCATGATGGTATAGTTTGAGAAGATGAATATTGAAGAAAAATACACAATTGATTAAGAAAGTTGTAAAATAGATAAAAAAAAAAAAAAGTGCAAAAGACAAATTTACCCTCATATTAACAGAGACAACGGATAGCCGTTTGCACAAGAAAGCAAACCCGTAACGAACTACATAGGTTAAGGATTCTTTTGTAATAAATAAAGGTAAATGACCAAATCTGTAACAAATGACAAAGATGAGGGACCAAATCCGTAGTTTACTCTTTAATAAAATTAAATAAAAGTATAATATTTTTATAAAAATATATTGGAAATAAACAAATAGAAAACCAAATTCATCAATGGATATGATTCATGAGCTCTTCAAAGGTTTTCATGGCGGATTCCGGCAACCCCAGAAGAACGTTAATACTTTTCCTCTGTTTCCCATGAGATAAGAACAGTATTACTTCTTTTTCCGGCAAGGCCACCGGACCCGACAGAACAGGTTCGCCCCACCCGAAATCATGGGCGTGAAATTGCAGCTTCGACCATGTCGTAATCAACAGCGTCGCCGCCAGGGACGGCCGAGCTCGAGTCACTTCGAAATAATCAATCGCCGATCTCATATAACCGTCGGTAACAAGCTTAACCGCATTGTGAACCAATTTCACGGTGAATGATAACGGATTACTCACCTGATCGCCGGCCAAACATATGGAATTCGTTAGCACGATTCCGTTGCCGGAATATCCTTCCGGCAACGGCGGTTCAAATCTCGACCTGCCGTCGACGGCGAAGAGGAGTTTTGTTTTCTGATCTGGTTTCATTTTGAGAGCTTTCGTTCTGGCTCGCCAGACGAACGCCGAGAGGGCTTCGAAGGTGGTGCAGGTGGGGATTTCGCCGGCGGCGGTGGCTTCGATTTTGAGGTGGTGGAGGTCGTCCGGCGAGAAACAGAATGATCGGTAAGCGATTTCTTCTTTGTAGAGGTTGCCGGAGTCTGAAACGTCTTCGATTTCTGCGAATTCATAGTGGGGGAAGTCGATGATCGGAGGGTTTCTGGCGGTGAGAATCGTCCGATCGAGGAACGGCGGAAGTTGCAGCGGCGAACCTCTGGCGATTTCACTCCAAGATTTAACGAATTCCATGGCAGCGATTCCATCGAAGAGACAATGGTTCATACCCAACCCTAATACAAACCCTCCACATTTGAATTTTGTAACCTGAAAATGAAATAAAATATTATGTAATCATTTTACTCGGTAATAGCTGATCTTGTAACATTTGATGATGTGTATACCTGTGAAATATTTACGGTACGAAAAATTGATATTCACGTCATCAAAATGTTAAGGGATATTTATCTGGTAAGCGTTTACCAGGTCATCTTATCTTACTGGATGAACATATCAAACACTGAAAATCTATCCGGTAAGAATAATGATAACAACCGAGAGTCTTATCGAGTAAGTAAGAGTTATGACACAAAATACTTGAATTGAAGTCAATTAAATCGAAATAAAAACCAACCTGTACAACAACAGGAGGAATCTCGAGAATATTATGAGCCCCTGGAGTGTCATAAACCAGCTTTCCAAGCGTAACTGGATCAGGCTTCGTATTATCACCAATATCTTCGATCGCACAGTTCGCTTCCGCCTCAACAAAAACCACACCCTCTCCGCTACAATCCACAATCAGCTTCCCTTCGGGACTAATCGCTAACCTCCCAGCAGCCGGGTAATAATACACAAGAACTCTCGACAAAGCATCCCGTATCACCTCAACAGCCGTCTCATTCCCTTTCTCCTCAGACTTAAAACAGTAAATCGTCCGCACAATAACCGCAATATTCTGATCAAGATTCGAGAGAAAATAGAAGCCCTTTTCTGTTTCCGTGTAAGGCTGCACAAGGGTCGAATCTCCTATTTGTGTGACAACGAGTTCAACCCCATGGCTTTCATTGCCATTTCCCTCCATTATAACGACCACCGCAATATACACTTCTTAGCTTGCTAAAATCTGTGTCGGTAAAAAACCAGTAAAACGAAATAAATTACGTGATAAAACCAGATAATAAGTAAGAGTTTGGAAGATAATAAGAATACATGAATGTGTCATGGTGTACCTGAAAATGGTTGAAATTGATGTGTTTTATGGCAAGAGATTAAACACAAGAAAAAGTGTGTTGTTTTTGGTGTGGTTATGGGTATCATTTTATAGATATAAAGTGTGATTGAATGGGTATTAATTTATTTGGATTTTTTAAATAATTTTATATATATTTAAAAAAAATTAGTTGATTTTTTAGTATTTAAATTGGGAAAGTATTTGAATTTCTTAAAATAATATTTGATTTTTATATGTGTTTAAAATAATTTGTTAATTAGTTTTCACATATTTATTGATATTTTTGTTATAAATAACGTAATATTTGATTTTATATGTATTTGGAAGAAATTTTATATGGTTTTCAAATATTCATACATGGTCGATTGCAGGGCGATACATTTGATGTTATAATACAGTTTTATGTGATTTTGATAAACGTTAATGTTTTTATGTTTGAATAAAATATAAATTCGAATGTCTCATAAAAATTTGAAAAAATATATCAATATTAGTATCAAATTAATTATTTAAAAGTTCAAGTTTTTTTATGTAATTTATTTAATTCATTTTTTATTATAATTTAATATAGATATAATAACAAAGTAATTTATTTTCAGTTTAATAATATAATTTTTTTTATAAAGATAACCAGTAAGTTTTATGTTAGAACTCAATGATTATTCTAATTATATTTTAGATATTTTATAATTAAAATAAGATGTTTATTATGTATTTGATTATGTTTATCTGCAGTTAGTTGCATGAATTCAATATAGAGCTTTAATAACTTTTGTTTACGCACAATTTACTTATAATCATGAATTTTAAGTAATATGTATCAATACACAGTACTAGATGCATAAAAAATGTTTTTTAAAAGTTTTTTTTTTATCAAATGCTTTATAATATAGTATAAATAAGGTAACTAACTACAAAGATGGTGCCCGATTGGTTTGAACTTGGGCTCCAAAGGTCAAAAGTGCTTGGAGGTCCCATATTCGAATTCAATAGATGAATAAAAATCCCTTTATGACCACGCATGTTCAAATATGGTGACTTCAGGTTATCCGCGAAGCAGGTGGTTGTCATGAGATTATTCGGCTCGCATAGCGGGTTAGATATTCAGATTAATAAAAAAATGTAGCCTCTGATAATATATGTATTTACAGTGCTATAATTTTTTTTTTAAAAATATAAAAGGTGCACCTGTTAAACTTTAAGATATAATATTTTTAAATAGCTTTTTGTATACTAGAAGAGTACTCGCGTAATGCAGTAAGACACATCTTGATCTTAATGTTCTATTTTAAATTTGTCTCTGTCGATATTATAATACGATTATATATGTTTTAATAAAGTAATAATAATTTTATTTTTGAATAAAATATAAAATTGAAGATATCATAAAAATTTAAAAAAAAATATGTCAATATTAATCTCAAATCAACTATTTAAAAGTTATCATTTTTATGTAATTTCTTTAATTTATTTTTTTATTATAATTTAATTTAAGTATAATAACGAAATAATTTATTTTTGGTTTGATAATATAATATTTTATAAATATAATAATTAAGTATTCTGTTATAACTCAATGATTATCCTAACTATACTTTAGATTTTTTATATTTAAAATGAGATGTTTATTCCGTATTTGATTATGTTTATCTGCAGTTAGTTACATGAAATTCAGATATGGAGCTTTAATAAGTTGTACTTACACACAATCTACTTACAATCTTGAGTTTTAAGTAATATGCATTAATAAACATTACTTTACGTATAATAAGTGGTTTTTTAAAAATTTTATCAAATATTTTATAATATAATATAAATAAAAGGTGTATCTGTTAAACTTTAAGATATAATATTTTTAGATAGTTTTTTGTATATAATTTTTTATTTATTTATCCATTAATCATTATTTTAATTTTACACGTTTAAATCAAATATTTTATTTAAAATATTAAAAAAAAATAAGTATAATTTTTTTTAATGTTTAGTATGTGTAGGAGGAGGGTGAGATGTAATTGGTAGTTTACCGACTCATGGACGAATAAATGCCTTGGTTGGTAGGGTTGGTCTCCAATAAAGTCTATGTTTGTTTCTATTTGGGCAAATCTCATAAATTGCAATAAAAAATAATTTATTTTAATTTGATTTTTATTTTAAGTAATATTATTTCAAAAAAATTATTTTGGTATTTAAGATGTAAAGTTTTCAACATTTAAGTATCCGAGTAACCGGTTGAAGCATTAACCGATTATCATGCTGATGTGATATCCAATTCAGTGTTATTTGCTGACGTGGCTAGTGATATGAAATTTTTTTAATCTAAAATTAGTTTTCAACCGGGTAACTGGGTACTTAAATAATTTAAAACTTTGCATCTTGGGTAACAAAATGAAAGTTTTGAAAGTACGTTACCAAAATATGAATCAAGTTAAAGTATGTTATTTTTTTTTCATACAATTTACCCTTTTCAAAAACACAAAAAACACAATGTTCATCATAAAGGATCTTCGATGGAGATTCTTGTTATAAGAACGTCTTTTTACACTTTTTGTTGACATCTTACTTTACAATTAATCAAATTAATAACTCAGTATAAAATTCTGAAACTGTACTTCTCCTTTTTGTGGGTCCCACGTGTTTTTTCGACATCAATAATAACTATATTTTAATAATTTTAAAGTCAATAAAATATATGAAAAAAACCCAGTAAATTGTCACTTCACACGAACTTCATGGTAAGAATCAAGGTTCTTGTACAAAAACTAAAAGAAAGTGAGATTCTTATAAGAACTCTTCACAATGATAATTCTTACAAGCCACTTCACTTTTTTGCATTGGAGATGCTCTTAAAACTCTAAAACGAGACATAAATACCAAAATGTCCAAACACTGGTTGTCAAAGTGGAACTTATCGATCTATAACGGTTTTGAAATCTTGCACAATTTCCTTAGAAACTAATTTTTCGACAACTTCCCATTTGATAAACGAAACCATCGTTCAAAAAACCGTCTTCCGCTTTATTTCTTATCCTTATTTTCATAATATAAATACTCATTTCTGAAAACCGACTCGACAAACAAGATTAAAAGTGGCTTCATTTTTAGTCGTTACCAGTCATTGACATGAAATAAATGTCAATTGCTTAGAATTTGTACGTAGAAGTTGCATCTTCATAACGATTTTCTCACGATCACTGAAATCTTTAGGATCGAACTTCTTTACGATTTTCTCGTAAATTCGACTTGACAAATTTCATCGACGAAGAAAATCTTTCAACCGTAGCGATTGCAATAGGTAAAATTCAAGTTGGCAAATCTTTCATCTCGATGCACAACAACATGATACACATCGATACCCAGGTTTTATCCTTTCGTTTTGAGTAAAATCATATGGATAAAACTCACACAACTTCAATAATTTTGCTTTGTCAAAACGAGAAAACAAAACACAAGGACTCAACGTCGCCGTACTTCTAAGCAATTCGGTGTTTACCTCATTGAAGCGACCACCAAACTCTTGAATTCGCATATCGAGAACCGTGTTAAATATGGCATACTCATAATGACGTCAGTTGGTGATGTTGGTTTGTTGCCTTCGATTTCTTGAGTTTACACAAACTTCTTTCGTTTTCACTTTTTCAACATTACGTCTTCCACAAAAAGAATCGACTTCATTCAAAAGTGTATCAAACCCATTTTCTCTTGCAATCTTCGCTTGGTTGTTTCTATCAAAGAAATTGCTTCACGGAATTATCATTAAAACGCTGATCTAAAAACAGTATTTGGTACATTGGACAAGACATAACAGAATAGAACAAAAGAAAACAGAATAAAAAAGGAATCACTGTTTTATATTTGACATGACTTTTATGTGGAACAGACATGAACATAACGGAACAAGGCGTCTTCCACCCTCATCCTATAGAACAAGTTGGAATAATGTGGGACAAACCTATATTTTACCAACATACCCTAAAAATAAAACATGATTCCCTTCTAATAATCAAATACGTCTCCCTCTTTACATTTTATTTATTTTATAAATTTTATTTATTGTATATTTATTCTTTTTAAACTTTCATTTTACTGTCCTGAAAGTTCTACTTTTTGTTTTCTTATTTTGGTTAGATTATGCAATTTATTATATGTATATTATATTATAGAACATTTGATAAAAACTCTTAAAAACCATTTTTTATGTATGAAATATTGTTTATTAATGCATACTAGAAGGGTACTTGCGCAATGCAGTGAGATACATCTTGATTTTAATATTTCATTTTTATTCTTTATCTCAGTCGATGCTATAATATGGTCTTATATGATTTTAAGAAAGCGATGCTGTTTTTATTTTTGAATAAAATATAAGTTTGAAGATATCATAAAAATTTGACAAAAATATATCGATATTAGTATCAAATTAACT